CGTCTAATTTAGATCTCGGCTTGCGACCAGTTCATCATAACCACAAAACACATTCCCGGGTCCAAAAACCAAATAGCTGACTCTCTCTCTCATTTTGCCTTTCAGAAATTCAGGCTGTTGACACCAGAGGCGGAAGGTCTTACGGGTTTGGAACGACATGAGGGTGAGTAATTAATGACAGAATAAAATTTTTTGGGTCAACTATCCCTTTAACACTTATATTACACACAAAAAAATGTTTTGAAAACATTTTTTAAAAATGGATGTCTAGAATGTTCAGAGAACATTCATAAATAACGTTTTCATAAAATAACGGGCACGTTCGAAAAACATTATTGCAACATATTTTTTTTTAGCTGGGAATTTCCATTTAAAAAATCATCCCAATCCCAAACTTTTGCACGTAACGCACCTGAGGGTCTGTAGGGCGGCTGATGTCCGGGTCTGGAGCTGCAGTGATGGAAGGGAATCATGTGACGCGGCAGTGGACCGAACTGACCGCAACACGGCGGCCGCAGGTAAGTGTTGGGGTACGAGGGGGAGGGATGGTGGTACATGTTCGCAGACGGAGGAAAGGAACGCAGAGATCTGGGATACTCCAGACTCTCCAGACTCGGACTACAGCTGCCCGGCAGAGAGTGAGGCCTGCTGGGGAAAAACGAGCCTTCATCCGAGAGCGTGTGGTAGATGGCAGACGGGAGGCAGGAGGGCAGGCTGTGAGGAGAATCCGCCCTGACGGGGCCGTCCCAGCTGGGGAAGGGCGTCTGATGGGCGTAGCTCACTGTGTTATGCTGGTGAACGACGGTTGCGGAACGGTTGTGAGTGACGTCTGGGTGAAGTTCTGACTCAAACTCTTCACTCCTGGTTTCGTCATTCTCCTCGGGATAGTTTAGAGACGTGTACTGATCGCTGCTATGGGCCATGTGGGTCGGGTGTCTGACAAAAGAGAAAACACGATGATGGTAAAAAATTTGATTATATTTCAATGCATGTTATAGGTCTTATTGTAAATAAATCATCTGTGCATATATTTCTTTTTTTTTTTTTTATGTTTTGACCTCATGATGATCAAATGGATCATCTGTCTTAACTGGATAACAAAACTTTTGTGATGGAAATCATATGTGGTGGGAGAAAAAACTATATGTGACCCTGAAGCACAAAAGCAGTAGCAATAGCCAACAATACATTGTATGGGTCAAAATTATTGATTTTTCTTTTATTCCAAAAATCATTAAGTGATTTTGCAAGGAAACACAACGTTTCATGGGGAAACATTTTCAGAACGTTCTGATAAGGTTTTCTCAAAGTAATGAACAAACATTCTTCCAGTAACATTAATAGAATGTTCATTCAAAGTTATCTGGTCTTTAATAATGTTCTCAAAACGTTAGCACAAAAACATGATTCATACATCATTAATAGAATGTTTTTCTAAAACATTTAGTTGGACATTCGTCTAATGTTTTTAAAATATTGTTACTTGTTTCAGAATGTTCAGAGAACATTCAAAAGTAAATATTGCAAGGGTGTAGGTTTGATTTAGGCATTGATGGGGACATAACGGCAGACAACAGACATGTAATTGTTTGATCAAAATTATTGCTAGGGACAATTTAGTAGTGTCTGATATCAGCAGGATCATGTCATAGCGTCTCTACTAAATTCTACACCCTTGAAAATCATAACAAGCGATGTCTGACTTTGATAGTTCTCTCCTTAAATATGAAGAGATCAAACAACAGATTAATGAGTTACTCCACATTTCACAAAAAGCTTATGAACGTAATTATAATATTAGTCAGACATTGAAGTGAGCTGCTGTTTTTGTCTCTTCTGAGGAAGATTCATTCACTTGTTTTGCCAGTGTACCACACAGACATTTTGATCACATTTTTTAATGTTCCTTATCTCATTTAAATTGAGATTTGTCAAATTTACATTTGACAAATCAAATGTTGATATTCAAATTAAGTACTGTTATTACAACATTTCAAGACCACCCATAATTAATTAATGCAATTTTTTTAAAGGAGCACTACACTGGAAACGTATTTGTCCCAGTTTAACTGATGTCCCACTTCTGCTGACTTCAAAGCTTTTGCGTTCCCCATTGTGTGAAACTTTGTGACTGCTTGCAAAAAAATTGTTTTGGAAATGTATATGATTATGGTTTCTGTGCTTAATGTTGTCTCACATTTACGTTCACCTGAGAAACTTTGCATCCGCTCGCAAAACATTTGTAATGGAAATAATATGCGGCGAGAGGAAAAACTATACTTCAGTGCTTTTGCAAGTGCAAAGTTTCTCAAGGGATTGAAAATGCAAAATCATTGAAAATTTTTTCGTCCTATCTTTTTTTTTTTTTTTCAATCACAGTGCTGAGTTAGTTTGACATTTAAAGAGCAATAACATTTCCATCATCATTTATTCAACAAAACATGCCCCACTTTCACTTGGTGAGCAAAAAACACACACATCATTATTAAAGTATCATAGCAGTTCATATGACTCGTGTATTATATTCAAAGACAGATAGTTTTGGGTGAGGAATAGACTGAAAGGTTTTGTCCTTTTGCAACATGACACTCACGCTCACTACTTTTGTTTTGTTGCATTTCCTTTCCTATGAACTCCTCAAGTCTATAGAGTATATGTGATATGTTTGTAGGCTATAAAAGAGCATGTCAACAGCTGTCATAACGTACAGTGCTGCTCATACAATGCAATTATTTTAATGCTCAGTCTGACAGCGTGTTTGCACATGCTGTGTTTGACTTTGCACTGCATCTTCACCGGCTGACAGAAACCAAGAAGACTTCTGAAAGCTGTCAGTGACCAGACGACGTAAGAAAGAGGTCAGCGCTGTTTTCTACTGGGGAAAAATAGGCCTTAGTGTAACATCCACCCATGCAGCATCCCTAAATAGGACACACTGCATTATGACTCTTTATCTCAGTGTGCCAAAATTCTGCAGCTTGTGCAAAACTGCAGACCACAGCATGAGAGATCATGCCATGCGAGCGGTTACACAAAACACTTTACCTTTATGCAATATACAGATATGGTTCTGTCTGAGCATTTGTCTAAGTTTGAGAAATGTAATGACGTGATAGTTTATCAGTTTTCAGGGAAAATATAAGTCAGCGAGTCAAGCGAAAAGGAAGAAGCCGTTAAACATTTGGCAGGAAGAGTCATTCTGATAAAGATGAAAGATATGCTCAATCACTGATAACCTGATTCTAACGTTTCCTGACACACTTGAGAAAGAAACCGAGAATGTACAGGGTGAATTCAGGTATTAAATATATATTTGCAATCACACAATGTTTTGGATGTGGATTGTTTTTATTTAAAATGGTATTTTTGTACTTAAAGCAAATAAAAAAAGTGTAAAAGTGAATTCAGGTGCCATTGACATGACTGGGAAAAAAGTCATTAAGTAACATATATATTAATATATATGTATGTATGTGAAGAGTTCAGATGCAAAAGCCTTGAAATTGTCTTCTAAAATGAGCTTTTTTAACAGGCTCCTATGTGTAAATATATATATATATATATATATATAATACCAAAATTATATTTTTTTGTATTTTTTATAAGTACAAGAATTATTAGGCTATAAGAAATACTACTAATAATACAATACTTTACCTGTTTACGTATTTGAACTAGTTTAAGAATATATTTTTAAACCTATTGACAGCGGACTGAAGACAAACTCACCTGAGCGCGAGCAGCAGGAGTTACAGTCACTTCAGGAAATCACACGGTTGTGTCTCATTTGTCATCTCGATTCTTGTTTTCTCACTTTCTACAGCGATTTCGAATTCAGTTTTAGATGTATTTTTCAATAGGCTACTAGTTGAAAACCTGACCGTTCGGTGTCAAACGACATGTTGTCGAAGTGTGTTTCGGTTCGTGTGTCGGAGGAGGAACGCGATTATAGATGATATGATGGGAGGAGTGAAACAGCACGCGAGCGCAGGGTGACCAGGACAGGTTCAGCGCCAAACATGATGCATACAGATCTTAAAGACGTAAAACAAAGCCTAACACTTATTAAACAACATAACACGGCAGGTAACAAAATGTTTGTGCTGACTTTCCCATTTATGGAAGGCCAAATGACTCAAAATTAAATCATTAAATAAATGTTGAAATATATAAATAAATCGTTAAATACATAATTAAATATTTGAATGCATAAATAAATAAATATTTCAAACAAATAAAAATATTTATTTATTTAAATAAATGCATAAATGAATAAATTTATAAATATAATGCATGAATAAATAAATATATAAATGAACGAATGAATATAAACATTTATTTATGCATTTATGTATTCATTTATGCCTTTATTTAACGATTTAAGCCTATTTGTATATTTCAACATTTATTTAATGATTTAATTTTGAGTAATTTGGCCTTCCATATACAAACCCATTAAGTTATGAAAACTGTTTGAATGTTCTCTGAACATTCTAAACGTCCAGATTTAAATGGAATATTCCCTTGCATCATTTCGCAAATATTATGGGAACGTTACTTTTGAATGTTCTCTGAACGTTCTGAAAGAAGGGACTTGGTAACATTTTAGAAACCTTAGACAAATGTCCGGTTTAAAGGGTTTCCGAAAAAAAGTTACATAAACAATGCATAAAGAACGTGTTTGTACTAACGTTCTGAGAATAAGATAACTTGTAACAAACATTATTGTTACGTTACTGGAAGAATGTTTATTCATTACTTTGAGAGAACCTTGCCAGAACGTTAGCCACATTAGCGGTTTTATTTTTTACGTTTTTTTATTTTTAAATGGCAATTTAACACTTTATAAAACTACTACTAAAAGAGCAGGGTGTGTCTATTATGCAAACGGGGTTCAACGTACGGCAGAGGGCGCGCTATCACGCCTCATCTGGCGCATGCGCAGTGCCATCGTCATGTTTGAAACCGCACAATGGGCGGAGATCTCTGCTGTTTCCTTCCAAAAAATCAACTGAGGATCTACCCACGGAAAACGGTTCCCAAGTAGCGGCTTTCGAGCGACATGCCAGGTACGTCTGTTATCAAACGAGCTTTTCCACCAGCTTATCACTGCGTTCTGACTCAGCTTGCTGTGGCTGGGCTTTGCGTGCACTGTCAATGAAAATAGTTTGTGCATAACGGGATACATTGTTACAGTCATGCATGCAAAGCAAACATTACTCTGTGAGAGTAGCTGCATCATCTACAGTGTTTACAGTGTCCATATCGATCATTATTTGTTCAGTTGCATGGATTGTAATGTCTTAATTTTTTTGCAAACCGATGTGAAACGAAAGTTTGATGCAGTCAGTCTAGATTGAGATTTTAGATTGTAGTTTACAGGAGTAGTTGATACAACAGTGCAATAATGCACATGCAACTAGATGAGAAAATATTATTGAGTTAAATGCTATACTGTTTAAAATACAGAAAGTACGGTGTCGGTACCATGGTATAGTGATGCTTATACCATGGTACTGAATTGCTACAATTATATGACATGGTATTTACATGCATGCATGGCAAACCAAGGTACTTTTTTTTTAAATGATGAAGAGATATGCAAAATATTATTTTTAAATTGTAAAAAATAGCCAAACTTTATTAAAACAAAACTTTTGCGTTTTACTGGCATATTTTCAGCATTTTAAAAAACACAAACAAGTAAAAAATATCAATAAGACAAAATAAAGGTGTATTCTGTGTACTTATTCTCTGAAACAAATTTTAATATTTAGCGGGTTTAATATATTATTAAATGTTTTGCTTCGCAGGTAAATTTTATATCGCTTTAACCATGTTTAAATATTGAAACGCAGGGTAAATATATAGCAGTTATGAATATTTTGGGTGTAGCTAAATAAATGCATATGAAGCTTTTATATTTTAAAACACGGGTTTTGAGATATGCGCTCGCGCGCGTGTTTGTAAACAGAGTTGTCGGGCCTCGTGCGATTCGCTCACTGTTACTAATAACAACCAACATTCTTCACCGTTACCAAGCAACGATATCGCGACGCTACGTTTTATCGGGGTTTTATCGCGTAATATTCGTCGGGTTTCCCCTGAAAGGCCCGGGGTTTGTTTAGCATGTAAGTGTCAAGCAGCCTGCCCTGTTTACAGTGAGATCTGTTAGCCAAACAGCTGCTAAACAACTGCTCGCAGACATTAAACAGGCTAAAGTTAGATTAGCAATCACTGCAGCTGCTTCATTAACGTTTAATGAGTAAACCGCGACTGCTAATGTCCTCAAAACTAGGCTACATGAACGTTCTCACGTGACACATGATGATTACATCATCTTTTGCTTGTGTTACAATGAAGTACTATGGTAATACCTTGTTTATTATGGTATGCTTTGAAGGACCTTAAATACCGTGGTATTTGAATATGGTATTCAGAAAGTGCCATAGTATATATTTGAGTAACGTTACCATGTTATTACTATCTGAACCATGATACTGCCACAATACTTTTTGTCATTTGAAATTCAAAGTAATATTGTATATGAAATATTGAGACCATTATAGGGATGATAACCAAACTTTAGGTTGTTCTAGCAACCTTGCAATATATATTCAAAATGTTATAGTTTATTGAGCCTTTAGATAGAGTCTAATGTAAAATCTAAAAAACCCCCAAAAGTTTGCATATGTGTTTTATTTATTTTTTGTTGAGTATCATATTTGATTCATCAGGTGTTTATGGCTCTTATAGTCTAATATAGTGATAATATGAAGGGAAACGACTCAAATTTATAGCTTCAACTGAGCAAAAATATGCATTTGCTGCATATGCTGATATTTCTATGATGAAATTCAGATGCTTGTGATGTAAATCAGTGAGATCGTTATAACAGTAGTACAGCAGAAACTGACATAAAATGATCTAATTATCAGTCGTTACTCGATATCTCCAGTAATCTGTCTCAGTAAGATGAGATTGAAATGCTCCAAACATATAATGCAGTGATTGAGAGCTGAAGAAATAAAGGCTCCTCAGAAGATGTGAGATGTTCTGGAGGCTTGTGAAGATCATTCCTCCGCTGAGGAACAGTGAAAGTAAAGCTTCTGGAAACAAACGCTCCTCAAAAGATCCTGAGGATCAGATTTGAGACTCTAAAACATGATGGAGAATCAAGTAAAGCTGAGCTGCTTCAGTCCAGTAAGTGTTCATCTGGAGATATTACTGCAGTTATTCTGACGCTTACTTGATCAAAATCAGTCAAGATTTGACACGAGAAGCGTTTGTACAATTACACTAAAAGAGCTTTTACTGGATAAAACACTCTAAACTATCAATCAGAGACTGAAGACATGAGGAGATTGAGTGCGACTGCAGTTTTGAAAATGTTGATCGTTTAGATGCCTTAGAAATTTGCATATCAAATACAATACTGTAGCTTTATAGGGTTGAATTGATCATTCAGTTTTTGGAAGCGTCCTTTTTATAATACCTGATCTGTAATATTTTAATTTGCATTGCAGGACATAAAGTGATGTATTGGCCGTTTGACAGGATTTCCCTGCAGAAGGATTTACTCCACCAGTGTTTGATTTGTCGATTATAATATTGTTCAGTCGACACATGTTGCACCGTCCCGCATTCATACTTCCAGCGGCCTTTTGCATCCCACATCCCTTCAGGATCCTGTCTTTAGATTAACAAGATCTCTGTTTTCTGGCCAGTATTTGTGTGTTTATGAGCCGTGGTCCATCTCGACAAAGTCATGGAGCCCAACATGGAGTACATAGTGGCACAGGTCACGCAGAAGGAGGTTGGACGTCGCTTCCAAGTGGGGCCGGAAATCATAGACTACATCCTGGACAGACAGAAGTCACATGACCTGGAGCACGATCAGAGCATGCTGGACAGGATGGTGGACAGTCTGGCAACCTCATGGGTCAATGCCAGCAATTTCAAGGTGAGAGAGTTTGTATGAATTTATACATGAATCGTTTTAGTTCACCCACAAATGAAAATGCACTCACCATCCAAGATTGGGATGAGTTTGTTTCTTCATCAGGTTTGGAGAAATGTAGCATTGCATCACTTGCTCTGCAGTGAATGGGTGCCGTCAGAATGAGAGTCCAAACAGCTGATAAAAACATCACAATAATCCACAAGTAATCCACAGCACTCCAGTCCATCAGTTAACATCTGGAGAAGTCAATCAAATTCATCATTAAGACTTTTTTAACTAAAATAACTAAAAGTCCATAATCCATAATAACGCTTCCTCCAGTGAAAAAGTGGTCTCAGGAGAGAAATCTGCACAGATCAAGCACCGTTTATGAGCCAAAAACAGTCCAAAGCAGCTCTAAACAAATATGTGGCTGGATTTTGATGTGAGAGACAACAGGAGACGCACTTTTTCACTGGAGGAAGCGTTATTATGGATTATGGACTCGGATTTTGACCAGAAGCAACGGTTTGAAGTTAAAAACATCTAATGCTGGATTTGTTTCAGCTTTTGTCTTCTCCAGATGTTAACTGATGGACTGGAGTGCTGTGGATTACTTGTGGATTATTGAGATGTTTTTACCAGCTGTTTGGACTCTCATTCTGACGGCACCCATTCACTGCTGAGACACTGATGCAATGCTACATTTCTCCAAATCTGATGAAGAAACAAACTCTTAATTTTTGAGTGAACTATTACTTTAAATAGAAGCTGAGGAGAGATTGTGTAGTTCAGTTACCATTATTTCTGTTTTCTGAGTAATCATTTGCATTCTTGATTCAGTTTGGTTGATGCAATGATTTTTAGGCTTTTTCTGTAAGCGTGCAAGTAGTTCCAGGTTTGTTAGAGTTAGAGTTGCTTATCATCGGTGCAGATCTTTTAGATATCACACTTTGACATGCTTAATGTTCTTTCAGTGGAAATGATTGCTGATTTAGATGATAAAAGCATCTGTTATCGTTTCAGGAAGAGTCACTCCCGTTCTCACGGATTCAGTGAGACTCTTGGTCTTTACTGAAGCTTGAGTTTTGAGTGGAAACTGATTTATAATTTCACGGGACTGCATTTTTGGATGACAGGCAGTTTGTATTGAATGAAAAATGTAGGTTATGCTTAAAAACGCCAGACATTGTGTGTATTTCAGTGAACTGACAGGCTAAGCATTTAAAGGGTTAGTTCACCCAAAAATGAAAATTTGCCCATAAATTACTCACCCTCAAGTCATCCCAGGTGTATATGACTTTCTTCTTTCAGACGAATCCAGTCGGAGTTATATAAAAAATTGTCTTTGATCTTTCAAGCTGTTTCATGGCACTCAGCGGGTGTTGCATGCATCAGTCCAAAAGAAGTCGGAGCTGCTTCTGTGAAGTGATTATTACGTTTTGAATATGGATATTTTTTTACAAAAACGCATCGATTCGCTACAGGATGCCTTTGTTCACCCCCCGGAGCCGTGTGAGACACTTTTTTTTTATGGATGGGTGCTTTTTATTTCACTTCTTTTGGACTGATGCATGCAACACCCGCTGAGTGCCATGAAACAGCTTGAAAGATCAAAGACAATTTTTAATATAACTCAGACTGGATTCGTCTGAAAGAAGAAAGTCATATACACCTGGGATGACTTGGGGGTGAGTAATTTATGGGCTAATTTTCATTTTTGGGTGAACTAACCCTTTAAGAAACTTGATAGGCATTATGAGGTTTTTTCATTGCCATTGATTTCTTGTCGCTTCTAATGCTCAATCTTTATGTTTTTTTTAGTATTTTATATTCTGCTGGTTGTCATTCTCAGTGCTTTTGCTACAAAATAATGTTTGGTTTGGGGAGTCGCTCAATATTAGTCTCATTTTCTGCTCATAATTTTTACTATGATTTACCTTTGGCTTTATTTCAGTTCTCGATCAGTTTGACTACAATCTTTTTATCATTCTGTGAGGTAAATTAAATTTTCTGCCATGTTAATAGGGAATTATTTATATGTTATTCTATAGTAGTATATAAATAATATTAAATAAACATTATTAATAATACATTATTTATTACTATTTAGAGTTTTATCATTTCAGTTTTTAATTTTAGTTTTACGTTTTTGTAATTTTGTTATGTGCCTTTATAATTTTTTGGCAGTTTTTTTTATATTTCTATTTAGCTTTAATTCTTTTTTTATTTCAGTTTTAGTAATTTTATTTCCTCAAATTAAATTTATTACAGCTCTAAGTTTTTTTTTTAAGTTTAAGTTTTTCATCTAATATTTGTTTTATTTTATTGCAGCTTTATTTCAATTGCTAAAAATGCATTTGTATTTTTAAATATTTTTTTTATCTTTAGCTTTCATTTATTTAATTTTAGTTTTAGTAATTTCAGTTCTTTAAATTATTTTTTAAATTTATATCAGTTGGTTTCAGTTGTTTCTTGTAAGTTTAAGTTTTTTATCTAATATTTATATTTTATTCTGTTGCAGCTTTATTTCAATTACTGAAAATGATTTTTAACAGTTTAAGTACCATTAACAGCAGTGATTTTCTGAGACATTTTTAAGGTGATTCATGAAGCTCAATAATGCAGAGTTTTTCATATTGTACACATGGATCTGTCTGCCTCATCATGGAGTTTTTGCAGGGAGTTTCTGTGGCTTAAACCATATTTAAATCTGTAAACGAATCTTTATTCAGCATCTGAGTTTGCAGCTGTTTTTCTGGTATTTTCTCTGAACATCTGCTGCTAGATTTCACTCATGACACGTCCATAACCAGATGCACATGAAATCTGTGCCCTCAAAACTCAATTAGTTGTACTTATAATAGTAATAAGAGTGTCCGGTCAATTACATATACTGTACTTGGCGCCAGTGCTTTTATTTGATGGCTCTGAGCCATTATGTGATCGGTATTTTTATTCTCAGTTTTCTTCTTCTAGACATTACTTCCTGTCTGTTGTTTTCTGTCCAGCAGGCGTATATTGTTTCCCACGTTACCATCATCATGTCATTGATCAGATGGTGTGAAATATTCAGCGCAGCTCCAGCATTAGCATGTTTAAGTGCTCATGAGTGTCCACACGCGCTTAGTATTCAAGAGTGGCGCTAGACGGCACATGCGTGTCACCTTCAGCGAGGGCAGGCTTTATGGGCTCAACACAGTTCCAACAGTTTTAATTTAGCAAAATAAAAATAAAAATAAAAATATCCTGAAAATCAAACACAACTATTTATAAAACAAACAAACAAAACAAAAAACACATTGCATCTTAAAATGAACATCCTGCAAAGGTAATTTGATGGTGCGTATGAATGGGAAAATTAGGGCTGCTAAAATGTAATTGTGATTTTTTTTTTTTCACTGATAAAAGTTGTGATTGTGATTTTAAAATGTGATTTAAAAAACATCCAGGTTTGCTGTTGGTGTGCTTATATATGAGAATGGCTATAATAATAATAGTAATAATAATAATATTAATTGTTATTGTTATTTTATTATTATTACTAAATAAAAATATAGAAATGACTTAGTGAAAGCAAAATATGAAATAAAACTATTTTAATATTTTACCGGAAAAGAAAAAAGAAAAAGAAAATAATTTAAGAAAAATATTGTAAAACTATATTATATAATATAGTAAATAAAATGGTTAAAGTAAAACTATGCCATTGCAACTGTACAATTACTATACATGAAACTTTTTTGAAAATTCTAATTCTAATTTAAAAAAAAAAAAATTCCAGGTTTGTGTTGCTTGTTTTTAGTTAAACATGTTGTGCTTATATGAATATGGCAGTGTAATAATAATAATAACATACAATGTTATTATGTCCTTTTATAATGTCATTTTTATTATTACAAAATAATATAATAATAATTATATGACTATGTCATGCAACTATAAAATTACAATGCTAATATTTATTTGCAAACGTTAAACCCTCAAGCTTTTATTTTGACGGAAAAGCACTCTTTTGTTGATCAGCGCTTCTCCGTTACTCAGAGCTCATGTATGTGTGTGGGCTGAACACAGAGTTATAATAGCTCACTGAAGAGTGAAGAGCAGGTGTTTGGAACCAGATGCTTATCTAATGGTTTTGTCAGATGACTAACTGGAGGAGATATACAGAAGCTCACTTATTCCTCTGCGTGTAATAGAAGGAGGAGTTTCATTAGTTTATTTGAGGAGCCAGCCAATGGCGTGAGTTTGGGGGCGGGCTATTGGTTTGCTTCTGTTTCTTTGTATCTGTTTGTTTTTCTGTTTGACCAATGGCAGGAGTGTTTGGAAACTAAATCATAATTATACATTTTAATGACACGTTTCGAACCAACTCGTACATCTCAACACTTTTAAAAGCATAGTTCACCCAAAAATGAACATTTTGTCATCATTTACTCACTGTCCTGTCGGTCTAAACCTGTATGACTTATTTTTAGGGCTGCACGATAAATCGAAATGGAATCGAGATCGCGATTTGACAGAAGCTGCGGTTGTCATGCGTATCTTTCAGTGAAGCACGGTTCTGTGATCAGCAGTAAATCTCCATCCAAAGGCCAGAGGGCGCTCTCGCGCTGAAACTCCAAATACACCTCGCAGAAGAAACCCAGGAAATGCCTATCGCTGCAGATTCAACGTGACTAATAAACACACGATTATGGCAATATACGGTTTATCTGAGTTCTTATTATTTTAATTTTCATTAAAATAAAGTATATTTATAACGCAATACCTTTATCACTGCTTAAATACTATGAAATATGTTGCGTGCCTTATTCTGTGTAAGAAGCCACATCATCTCACAGAAGGATTTATTTCAAACACTCAACTGATGTTATGAAGTGAGTTTGGAGTAAAAATATGTTATTAAATGTGGTATAATTTTTTTTGGTCCATGCAGTGAAAGTCAGTGTTGTTTGGACTCAGTTCTCAGTAAATGCAGTTCCACATGAACTCCATCTCTGCATCTGCTCTGAGTTTGA